AAACCCTACACAGCCTACCTCCCCCTCTGTAAGGCCTCCCCACCTCTCTAAAATCAGCGACGAGCTCGAATATGGAAACCTTGATAGAAGAGTAAACTCAAGGCCCCTGTCACTGACCAAACAAGCAACAAAATAAATAGGAGTTCATTGAGGCCAATTTATCACAAAAAAAATAACAAAAAATAATAACAAAAAGGAGACTTGAGGACGGGTTCTGGGTAAGAAAAGTGAGAGTAGAGAGATCTGGTGGAGTTTACTCGGATCAGATTTCTCGTAGACTGGTTCTCTCGTATGGGAACGGGCCACAACAAAAAATCATATTACAAGAGCTTGAGGATCCTATAAAATAAAGGGATCTTCCTCTTCAGAGCCACTCCTAAGCCAGTAATTAAGATACTCTACGGTGTACGGCTGATAGCCCTACCATTGGAGTAATATCCATAAAGACACGAAGAACAAAAAAAGGAGGGCGGCACGAGTGTCATCGGCGCGTTTTCCTTTTCGGTGGCCCCCGTTTGAATCAGCAAAAAACGCTTTTCGAAGAAGTCATGGGCATCTTCATTCCATTTTCTTGTTTTCTTCTTCCCTTTTGTTTCCCTCAAACGGGGATCCTTGACGCCAAATTCGGTTTAAAAACAAATAAAAAAGGAGAGAAACAAAAATTAAGCAAATAAAAAAACAACGGGCGCTCTCCAGGGGAAAAGAGAGCAAAGAAAAAAGTGCAAACACAATTGGTTGGTATCGTTTTTTTTTTTTTGTGCGTTTCTTTTTTTTGCTTTCCCACCTCAGCTGGGGACAGGTGAAATTCAATGCATTCAAATAAGGTAAAAAAAAAAACGCTTGCTTGACAATGACTTTCCGAAAATCCGGAATGCAACAGAAAAGCAAATAAATAAATTAATTAAAGAGGTAGAAAAAAAAGAAGAAAATCACGTCTTTTATCTTTTTTCTCCAGAATTATTTTTATTTATTTTTCTTGTTTTTTTTTTTCTTACCTTTGAGCATCGCCCGACTCCCCACTTCAAATAACGAAGTAAAAATCAAACAAAAATAAGAAGGAATTGTGTTGTGATTCTATGTGTATTGATTGTATTAAAAATAAAAGAAAGAAAGAAAGAAAGAAAAAGAAAAAAAAAGTCCAAACAAGAAACAGGTCCGTCCTTCTTATTTTATTTTTCCCTCTCTCCACTCAATAAATTCTTCTTTTCTTTATTTCTTTGGTTTTTTTTTTTTTTTGTCTTTTGTTTCTTTATGCTCCTGCATATATATAAGAGAGAGAGAGAGATTTGTATTTCTTTTTTTTTATTTTTTTTTTGTTTTTGCATCTTTTCTATCAAGGTGTAAATTGAAAATAAAAAAAGGGGTTGGGGATGAGAGGGGAACTTGCAGACGCAATTGAGTCTGAGCTCCTTCCCTCTTTCATAGTATTTATACTTTTCTATGCGATATGTTATCTTCCTTGTAGCGGAGACTCCATATTTTCATGTACATATTAAATAAATATATATATTTATATATTTATTAAGAAGGTACATTAATGCGTTCCATCCAAATACGACAGCGATATTTGGAAAACATAACTTGTAAAAGCGCACGAAAGTCCACACGTTCATTACTTTC